CAGAGACAGTGCGATTGGCACAGGACAGAGCGGAGTTTAGGGCTGTTGTACATAGGGTCGCTGTGAGTCGCAAGCGACTTGACGGCACATAACAACAACAAAGAGTGGTTCATTTTGTAAAGATACATATTTCCATGTTTTCAGTTACATATAAGTATACTCTTTATTGCTTGAATATGCATACATATTAGAAATATAAATGCAAAAAAGGGTGATCACGGAGGTTAGAATTGTTTTACCAAATACTGGAAGTATGCGGAACATACAGGGAGGTCAACAGACTGGAATAAAAGTTTAGTTTTTAGGTCCTTTAGTAGTGTATTCTGTACTGGATTTACACAAGAGAGTGAATAGATTTCTTTCCTCATGCTTGTTTGCCTGGTTGGCTGCCAAGCTGGCCAGGTAGACACAAGGCCTGCATGTATTAAATAGCAGTCCATTTCAGGTTTTTTCATTTCTAAAATGGAATAGATTGCTCAGTTGTATTTTGAAGATTCTTAGTTCTCAAACAGAGCCAGTTTCCTTTGAGTTTTATTGTAATCCATAATGACCCCAAGTGTGTCAGAGGATTTCAACATCTGATTTTTGTTTGTTTATATTAAAAATTTTTTTCCTTCAGAAATAGGTTATCAAGTCTTTCAGGGTCCTTCTCTCTGTATGGACCTGCATCTGCAACCTGTGAAGTAACGGTTAACTTGTTTTACCATTGCTTGTACCAAGGGCTGACACATACAAAGCGCTCATTTGTTAGTTGTGTGAAGTATGTACAGAAATGCATACACCAAGTCAGCAATTTCTGGATGTACAGATGTTGGTTACATTCTTGAAGTTGTGCAGCTATCCTCACCCTCGTTTTTCGAGTTCCTCTCCCATTCTAGCTTGGATTTTTTTTTTTCTTTTCCTATGCTTTTTCACCTCTCCCCTCTCCTTCCTTTCAAGCCATAGAATTTATTTCTCTGTCTTACTTTTCTTTATATTTTGTCAGATGCTGGACAGAAGTGATTTTAAACTAAATGGAAAGCTAACAAGCCCTTAAATTGATTGTTTTTACTGCTGTGCTAATAGGGCATAAGAATAATTTTATTCTCCTTAAACAAAAGAGTATTTTAAATATTTGTACATTCACATGCGCTTAACTTTGATCTCTAATCAAACATTATTAATAACTAATAATTTTGCATTTCTGAGTTTTTATTTTAATGGTGTTGCCGCTTAATCAGCAGAAATAAAATAGATTGCTTTATTTGTAATGGCAAATTCTTTCCATAAATGTGTGCAACATTGGATTAGTTTTAGGTCAGCCTTTCCCCAGGTACTCCTAATAATCAAGTCTCTTCATTCTTCTGGCTTAGGAGCTTGTTGACTGCTGTATTAAGAAGGCTATATATTGTTTACTTTATAAAGAGTAAATGTAAGATATGTGTTATATTAAAGATAATATATTAAGTGTTTATCTTGATATTTAACAGATTTGTACACAATAAAAGAAAGAATCTAATCTGAAAAATTCTTCAAATGGGTAGCACAACATGTGATAATCAAATCTGCTGCCATATCTGCAGCCGGAGTCCCCAGCAGGCTTGTCAATCCTGGTTCATTCTCTGCATCCCCCGTGTCTATGGAGTGGGTGTGTCTGTGGCAGGGCCTGTGTGGCTGACCTCCCTCTAGACTCTTCTGCCCTCCTGTGCAGTTCGCCATCACTCCCCATAGTGTGACTTCTTGCTAAGCTGACACTAGTTGGAAAACATCACAGAAGTACTGTTTGTGTATGTCCTCCAGGTCGGATCCGCACAAGACGCCAGAGCTCCGGGAGCACCACCAGTGTCGCCTCCACGCCTCCTGACAGTCGGGGCCGCAGTCGCGCCAAAGTGGTTTCTCAGTCCCAGCGTAAGAAGTGTACTTTGTGCTCTCTGTTACTACAGTTTTATCCAGCAGACCATTCATTCTACGGTTGAAAACTTTACCATATTAAGTCTTTGATTTCTAAAGCATTTATGTACACATTATATACATTGCTTTTAGAGTAATTTTTTATTGCTCTGAGTTAATGTGAAGAATCTTTATGTCAAATCAGTTTACAAAACAGAGTGTGCTGTTATCTTCGTTTTCATCCTTTTGAAGGCTAGAGGTCCAGATTCAGAGTGCTGCTCTCCCAGAGGCTCTTCTTTCCTGGCCTTGGGGGCGCTTTGTCTCTTCCACTTCCTTCCTGGTTCCTTGCAGATCGCTCTGTGGCTTTGCATCCATCTTCTCTGTCCTCCCTCCCTGGCTGGCTTGGTTAATCTCTTTTAAGTCTTTAAAAAAAAAAAAAAATTAAACCAAGATAGATCCTATACTCTACACCATTCCTGCCTCATTGAAGTAATAAAGACAGCTGTTTACCAAGTGAGCTTATAAACACTGGCCAGAGCTTGGGACTTACAGCATGTCTTTTTAAGGGAGATGTATTTCAATCCATAACACGTATATGTCCACAAACATGTCTATTTCTATCTCTCCAGGTGATTTTAATTTTGTGTCATTAAGCATTAAACATAAAAATTGAGGTTGGGGGAGTTTTTTATGTCTTTAAACCTCAAATTGAAGCCTACCTAGAATATGATACTTTTTTAAATGGTTAAGAATCTTTATAATTTACCTGGGGAAATAACTATTAAAATTCTTACTACCAGTGGTAATAAGTCAATGCCTTTATAGTCCTTCCCTTCTAACCCTCTTTCCTAACATTTGCAGCCCTCTTTCCTTGCCAGTGCAGGCTTTTACTTTTCCAGTTGCCTTTGCTTCCATTATTGTTTCTCTGTATATGTGGCATCAGTAGGATGGTTTATTAGCATGTAAACAAGCCTAGCTAGAATGAATTTATTTTCACTACTTGTAGACTGCAACCCTCGTGTCTCACTTCCTAGTTAGATGGGACTTTGAGCACTTGCTTCCTCTGCATGCAGAGTAGGCACGGCCTCTTGAGTTCTCATGAGCAAGTGTAGTGTGGTGGAGGAGCACTCTGTCCCTGCCCTGGAGCTGCCCAGGCGCCTCAGCACAGCACTCTCAAGCTGGTGCATACTTGCCCCCACATTTTCAATGTTCTCATAATCTTTGAAGTAGTTTTCTAAATTGTTTATAAGTTAGTTGTTTTCTGTATTCCCATTTGATAACTGTAGTCCTCATTTTAAGGAAATCCGAAACCAAGTCCTTTTCTTTCTGAAAAGAAGGGGAAGATCTATCAGTGCTGCCTCCATGAGGCTGCAGGATCCGTCTGAAGTAGGATGCATTGTGTACAGCTACGTACATACATAGGCTTCAGTGTCAAGACAAACCTGGACTTGCATCCTGCTCTTGTTTAATAATGTCCTTTCATCTCACTCTAAAGTGGGTGATAATCAATCCCATTTTAAAAGCTATTGTAACGAACTAATAAAAAATCAAGAATCTAGCATGCAGTGGACAGTTGGTAAACTGAAGTAACTTTTATGTCCATAATTACCTCGGATCTGTAAGCTCCTTTCCTGGCTGAGGTTGAGCAGCCTTAACACTTCCTCTTTTTTTACCTGTCTACATCAATAAATTTAGAAAAGAAGACTCAAAATGAATTCCTAGAATGAAGAACATGAAGTAAAGGCAAATTGAGTATACTAAAGCCAGACTGGGCTTTTTCCTGGGCAAAGGTGCCATGCCACTAGTTAGCAGTAAAATCCTAGTCATGATGCCAGAAGTCAAAGAATTATTTAATTCTCTAGTCGTAAATGTGGATCAGTTTTTATTCCAATTGGAAAGTACTCAAGACTCAACATACAGCTCCGTATAATCAAATTGTGTCAAATTTAAAAATGCCTATCCTTATTCTTTATCTGCACAAGGTTCATTTCCTCCTTGGAGAAAGAAGTTTAAAACAGGATGTTATGTAATAAGACTTTTTCTAGCAGATCTGAAATAAATACTAATATAGTAAAATTAATATAAAATAAACATAAATATTAAAATAGAGTAAGAAGGCCAGTTTTTAAATATGTGTTCTGTTAATGTGTTTGTGAACAAAGACATTTGTGTTGTGTTGCATGCTGACATGCTGACCTTCTGCATTGTCTTATTGTCTTCTAATCCACTTTTTGCCTGTCCTTTGGTCTGCTCTCATAATCAAGGATCCAGATCTGCTAATCCTGCTGGTGGTAAGACATTCCCCTTCTTGCTTTTTTACATAACTCCTGCAAATTCTTGCAAAATATTAAAATCTTACTTTATTATGAGCTTAGTTAATCCTTCTGCATTCATTTCTATATGTTCAAATTTTAGAGTTTCAAACTAATTTCTTTCTCTTTTTCATTGTTACTGTATAACAAAATGAATTGGTCCAGAGAGAAATTCTTCATGGTAATGCACTCTGGTAGTTTTTACACTGAGTTGTAATAAAGTATTGATTTTTCTCAGTATTCACCTAAGTGATTAGTTTGAATGATGATACTTTTTCTTTCTATATATCTATAGCATGTCCAGGTAAAGCTTTGGGTGGTTTTTGTTTGGGTTGTTTGTTCTTTTAAAAAAGTTCCCCAAAATACATACTTTACATTTTAGGATCTTATTTCTCTACTTAGGGAGATCTGTTACATAAAAATAACTAATTCTGGTTTATTGCTATAATGTTTAAAATTGCTGTTTTCTCCAAGGGAGACTTTGTCCCACAGGAAAGCAGTTATATAGGTACTTAGCATCTTTAAATGGTATTAGCAAAAATTGTTAATTTCTCATTCTTCCTGGTAATGCACTCTGTTATTTCTATTGTGGTAGATTTTTCTTTTTAAGATTTTATTTGAGGTTTAGTACAGAGTCAGTTTTTATGAAAAGTTGAATACTTGTTAGATAGATGTGTGTATTTTTTATGTATGTGTGTAATTGATATTTTGGCTGGTCTCTCAGTTTCCAAGAGTTACAGTTGTCTTTCATTACTTACTAGTCTTCCTGAAAAGGCATATTAATAATTATGACTGTAAATTTCTCCTTATATTTTGTCTTTTTTAAATTTAAAGCTATGACATTTGTAGCATCAAGATTTGTTATTATTTATGTTCATGGAATGTTACTCATCAATATGAAATATTGTTAGTCCTTTTAAAATGCTTTACTTTCTGTTTTGTTTTGATTTTGTTATATTGTTTGCCTCCTATAACAACATATAATTAAGATTTTCTTTCATTATTTTACACAATCCAAAATAAGTCTGTTTAGTAGGTTCATTTAATCTAACTACATTTTTTATGATTGCTAATACATTTTGGTTTATTTTTGTCATGTTATTTTGTAGTTTTTGGTTTTTATATCTTTGAGTACTTATCCATCCTACTCTTTTTTTCTTCCATTTCTAAGATTAATGACATTTTGGGTACCTATTTTGCCATATAATGATTCTAGTTTTACTCTTCTAGCAGTTACATAGGGAGCTCTGAGGGCCTAATGGGTAAAGAGTAGGACTGCCAGCCCAAAGGCAGAGGGTTTGAATCTCCCAGCTGCACCACAAAGATTGGAAGTCTCCTCCTGTGTGATTTATTGCCTCTCAGAACCCACTGGGGGCTCAGCTCTGGATTGGTTCAGACTCGACAGCACATAATCATAGTAGTTTAGGGAACTCTGGTGATGGTCAGAAGTATACTACTAATCCAGCTTATGCTTGTATGTATCCGCTAGCAAAAACTTGGGCTAAAGCTTCCCAGACTGTTCAGTTCACAGCCTAGAAACCCAGTGGAGTTTCAGCTGTGAGTCAGAACAGACTCTAAGCTTGGAAGTAACTGCTCTTGATGTGAATGTATATGGTGATTTCCTGTAGAACAGGGAGGCTTCGATTGATACTCAGCCTGCTCTTCTGAATCACGAATTTGGTATTAATTTTTTAAACTCCTGTTCTTCATTCTTCTGTTTGTGAATAATAATCTTTAATGTCCCTACATATTTTTAAAATAAATACTAACATAGATTAAAAAACTATTTTAATATAAAATTCTTAAATTTTTGTCTAAATTCATTTGTAAACTAGCTTCAGAAATAATACTGATTTAAGTTTATTAACCATTTTTCTTTTGCTTGATTCTTCAGCTGGTAGCCGATCAAGTTCCCCAGGGAAACTGTTGGGAAGCGGTTACAGTGGACTTTCTGGGGGCTCCTCAAGAGGCCCACCTGTGACACCCTCTTCAGAAAAACGAAGCAAGATTCCTAGGAGTCAGGGATGTAGCCGAGAAACGAGTCCAAACCGAATAGGATTAGGTAAGGATTCCCGAAGACCTGGGAGTAGCCATTATCAACTTGACCACAGTTTGACTGCAGGCTAAGGGTTGTGTCTAACATAGAAACTAGAGATCTATTTTGAACTAAAAATGTCATTTTTCTTATGTTAAAAAAGACCTTTCCATTTTTACTCTACTCATATTCTTAGCATGTTAAAGTTGTCATCAGAGAACATAAGTGTGGGACTTACTGTTCAAATCCATTGGAAGGAATTGTATCATTATTGGTGTCTATAAATACAGTCAATTGCAAAACATCAAAATTGAGTAAATTGGCAAGGGTCCACTTCCTCCCCTCAGCAGTTTGAAACATGTCGCTTTAATTTTCTGTTTTCTAAATATCACTTAGTATCATTAACTTGTATAAATTTTCAAGAGCAGTTTTGTAGGGGCCATTTTTCTTTCTTAACAAGTGAAATTATGGTCAAATATATGTATATATGTTTATGTACAGTTTATACATATGCTGTTCATATAGTTACATATTAATGTTCATTTTTACAGCCTTTTGTTCAAATATGAACATTAGCAGTAGATGAAAATCAAATATGTAACATTTATTTTTGCACTACAGTATTTTGTTTCATTGTAATAGTGTATATGTGTATTACTCCCAATATCATAAAGATTTTATTTAATCTATTATGGTACTTTTAAAAAAAATAAACTAGAAATCTTATAATAATATGAAACATTTAAGTTCAAACTTAATCTACTTTCTAAAGGTAAAATATTATTAGTGTAAAATGGGAGTACTATATTTACATTCTATTACTTTTTCTTTCTCATTTATTCAGCAATTTTATTTAATTGTATAGTTTGATATACCAGAGACTTCATTGTTGTTGTTGTTGTTGTTGTTATGTGCCGTCGAGTCGCCTGCGACTCATAGCGACTCTATGTACAACAGCCCTAAACTCCGCTCTGTCCTGTGCCAATCGCACTGTCTCTGACACTCCCATCCCAATTATCCCAGTCACTGAATCAATCCACCTCATAGAGGGCCTTCCTCTCCTGTGCCGTCCCTCCACCCTCCCAAGCATGATGTCCCTCTCTAAGGACCGGTCTCTCCTCACAACATGTCCAAAGTAAGTTAGACGGAGCCTCAGAATCCTTGCCTCCAAGGAGCCACCCGGTTTAACCCTCTCCAGGACAAATCTGTTTGTTTTCCTAGCAGTCCATGGTATTCTCAATACTCTTCTCCAGCACCACAGCTCAAAGGCATCAATTCTCCTTCTATACTCCTTGGTCATTGTCCAACTCTCTGATGCATAACAGGTGATTGCGAAGACCATGGCCTGTATCAGACGCACCTTAGTCTCCAGAGAGACACCACTGCTCTTCAGCACTTTGGAGAGGTCCCTAACAGCAGACTTTCCCATGGCAATGCGCCTTTTAATTTCCTGGCTGCTGGTGCCAAGACTGTTGACTGTGGAGCCAAGCAAACTAAAGCTGTGTACAATCTCAATCTCTTCACCATCCATCCTGATGCTGCCAATTGGTCCAGTGGTGAGAATCTTTGTCTTCTTGACATTGAACCTCAATCCATATTGTAGGCTGCAGTCCTTGACACTCTGCAGCAGGCGCTTCAGGTCCTCCTCAGTTTCAGCAAGCAGGGGTGTGTCATCCGCATAACGCAGATTGTTGATGAATCGTCCACCAATCTTGACCCCACATTTCTCCTCATAGAGCCCCGCCTCCCAGGTAATCTGTTCTGCATATAGGTTGAAAAGGTATGGAGATAGGATGCATCCCTGGCGTACGCCCTTCCCAGTTTTGAACCATGCAGTGTTCCCTTGCTCTGTTCTGACGACTGCCTCCTGGTCCAAGTATAAGTTTCGCATTAGAATGATCAAGTGTTCTGGGATTCCTATTCTTCCCAGAGTCAGCCACAGTTTGTTATGATCTACACAGTCAAATGCCTTTGCATAGTCAATGAAACACAGATAGACATTCCTCTGGTATTCCCTGCTTTCAGCCAAGATCCATCTAACATCAATGGAAAAAACTTAACATCTGACTTTATGAAGCTTATGATCTCTTGGGGAGATAAGACAGTATACTAAGACATTACGATAGACATGTCAGGATGCTCTGGAACCTCAAGAAAGGAGTACATTTAGACCCCTTCTGTGAGAGAAAGATATGGTGCTCGCTTCCATACAGGTACAGCTCTAGAAACTGATCAGACAGTTCTGTTCAGTCCTGTCCGAGTTTGAATTGACTCATCAGTAGTGACTTTTGGCCTCTCGTAGTAGGCTCCTTGCCCATACCCTCTTATTTCCTGCCAGGGAAAGCTTCAGAACAGGTCCCATTCTTGTGAAGTACAGAAGGGAGCAAACAGGCTGGGTGGAGATGAGAGGAAAGATTTTCTGTAGATAGAGATGCATGTGCAGAAGAAATCAATTGAGCGGAAACATAATGCATTCTAGAAACTACAAGTGAATCATGTGACCACAATAAAGAAAGTTTGTCCATGCATATTTAGAGAAGACGAGGGCAGGCAGCCTGGTAGCATCCAGCTCATGAAAGCCATGTTTTTCAGAGACTGTTGGCTGTAACTCAGATCAGGAGTAAGGGAATTCCTCTAAGCTAAGGCAAAGCAGAAGCAGATATTTAAGAAGCAAAATGGAAATAATTTAGAGTAACGTTTTTGGAAGCAAGTAAAAAAATACCTTTAAGCACTGGTTTTGTGAATGCTTCATAAAGTTTGCTTTCTATTGTTTTATAACCTAATCCATGACCTGGTTGTAAATGTGAGAATCATGGCTAGAATATGAAAATCTCTAACTAGATTTGATACTGAAATATACCTGTGTTTAGGGCTGGTTTTATCTGGAAAATATATTTTATTTCAGTTGTTACAAGATTCTAGTTGATTATGAAATTTAAGTTTCTTGTTATACAGTGACTGTAATCCATACTTATTTGTACTTTTAAAAATACTTGTTAGGAATTTTGCTCTTTTTTTAGTTAAGATGGCATTTTAACCTTCTTGTTATTTGTTGTTGTTGTTATGTGCCGTCGAGTCGTTTCCGACTCATAGCGACCCTATGCACAACAGCCCTAAACCCTGCTCTATCCTGCGTCAACCTCTGACATACCCATCTCGATTACCCCAGTCACTGAATCAATCCATCTCATAGAGGGTCTTCCCCTCCTGCTATATTTGACAAATAAGCCACCTTGGCTTACCTCTAAGATCTAGTAGATTCTTAGTTAAGACCATTGTCTTAACTATGAAGTTTGTATTTCATATAATTGAAAAACAGCATTTTGTTAGTACTTTGGGAATACATAAACACGTAGAGAAATACCTATATAAAATTTCTACTACTTACTCATTCCTGTAGTGCTGCCTAGAATTCCACTTCATAGCGATTCAGATATAATGCTATTTTCAGTAGTAGAAGGTAGGATAATGGGAACATTTAGTATATATTTGGTATACGGCTATATATCCAAAGATTTAGTTCCATGAAAAACAATTTGGAAAAAATACTTTTTTTTAAAAGGGAAGCTTTTTTTAAAGGACTAATTTTTATAATCTCCAAAACAAATTTCATTAGATCTAGAATTTGTACTGAGCATTAATTTGAATTGTCTTTAATTTATATTTAACTGTTCTTTTTGTTTTTTTGTTTGAAAGTATTTTTCTGAATAGAATTTTATTTTTTCATTTTCAATAAAAACCAATCCTAGAACTCTTCTTACCATTTAAAATTCTTACACAAGACAAGAGGTACCTCTTGCTGGTTAACCAAGAAACAAAACCGACCTAGCTTTCTAACCAAATGAATAATATGTATTTTGTAAGGTGTTACTGTTATTCTTTTGTATATTTTAGTCTATTAACGTCATACAGTAAATAGTTATAACAGTACTATTTAGAAAGGTTTTTTTTAATATTGTCTTTTATTCTGTTTTCAAGTTGAAAATATTTTTAAAAGAGTCATTAATTAACACTATCTCATTTGAACTGCGATATTAGACTTCCCTGTAAAATACCAAGACAAAAGATGGCTAGAAAAAATGTTTCATATCTTTAAGATCTGGTAGTTGTATTGATCCTCTTGTGCTTCTGCTTTAGCAAGATTGAGGTTAACCAAGTCCTTCCCTAAAATAGAGAATAGAGTTATCATTAAAACTACCATAAAAAATACAGTGTTTTCGTTTTCATTCTATCTATATAGACATGAAAACCAGTCAAATGGTTTTCCGGCATCGTGGCATTTCATGTAAGAAGCGTAATGTAAGATCTACCTGGGAATACTGCTTTAGTTCAAGTGATGTTTTTAAAAGAATTTCTTCCTCTTTTGTTACTACTTCTTCCTAATATTCTGTTTCAGCACTCAGTAAAGACAGCATTCCTTTACCGTGCTTAAGTTTTGACCACCTCATAATTATTTCCAACTCAAAACTCCATCTGCTGCCGTCAGGTCATTTCCAACTGCTTGCAACCCTGTAGGACAGAACAGATCTGCCCACAGTATTTCTAAAGCTGTAGTTTCTGTGCGAGCAGAAGGCCACATGTTTATCCTGCAAAATGACTGGTGGGTTCTTAGCTGAGTGCTTAACCACTGCACTATCAAGGCTTCTCTTAGCTCATTAGTTTAAGCTCAGAGTCATTGCCATTGAATCAGAACTGACTCATAGCTGACCCTCCAGTGTCTTTCCTGAGGCTGTAAATCGAGCAGGAAGAAATCCCTCATCTTTTTCCTGTGGAGCAGCTAGTAGATTTGAACCACTTGCCTATGGACTGGCACTGCAACGCCTTATCCAGTAGGTCATCAGACATCATTAATTAGTCTTAAATCCTGTATGTAGATTAACTTTAGTATTTTTTCCTCTTACGTCCAAATCATCTGACATTGAACAGTCGATCACTTCATGATGCTCCAGTGTGGTTTGGAGCACCTGTGCAGATTTTCTCAAAATTGTAAAGAGAAATGATTCTTTTCTCTATGCCACTACTAAATCATAGATTAAAGAGCTCTTCAGCATGAGTGAGTGAATGCACTATTTTTTGTGGAATCACAGGAGATAAACCTTACTAAGAATCTATTCATATTGTTAACGTAGATGTTACCTGCTTATACCTATTGGGGTTCTTTTTTTTTTTTTCCCATTGGGGTTCTTTATTATCTTGACAAAGCTGCCCAGCCCTGAGAAAGCTCACAAGCAAAGACTCTCCATGGTTTGTAATGTAACAAGGGAACAGGAACAGAGTAAATAGTGATAAGTAATCAGAGAAGAACTATAAAAAAGTGCTCACCTGAGAGTATTATTTCATTTTTCATGTGAAAAGCTCTAAAAATGTTTTGGTTTTTGTTGTATCTTTTTGAGTACACAAGTAATAAAACAAAATTTTTATATCTGCCTTTCTGCAAGGAACTTAGACGGCCTTTGTATGTGGTGAACTCAGAGTATGTTTTTTCAATAAACAATGAGGCTCTTTCCTGTTACTGACTTCCTTAAGTAAGAACTTAGATCCAGAGAGTCTACATGGCAGCCACAGGGAGTTGGTGTGACCCTCAAAAGTGATTTCATGGCTCAGAATGTAGTATTTATTCCTCAAGATAAGCAGTACTGCTTTTGAGGTTACAATAAACTTCTCATTTATTGATGTTGCTCAGTAGAAACCTCTAGTGTTTTTATGCATTTAACTTAAGCACCTATTGATTGTGCCTTCATTAGGAACGCTGTAGAATGTTATTAAGACTTGATTAAATAGTTACTGCTGAATGTTACTAAGAATTGATTAAATAGTTACTGCTGCTTAGAGTGCAAATTCAGTGCCAGAGAGTTTAGGGAGTTCTAAAACCTTCATGATGTCTTTCCTGAAATCTGATGGCTCAGATCTCTTTCCTGTGCTTATCCTTTCCTTATACTTTCCTTCCCTGGGAAACTCTACCTATACCTTCTGACAACACTTTTACAATCTTAATTCAAGTCTAGTCCTCAGGAGCTTATCACAAATTGCTTTGCTTTCTCATCTCCTTAATATTCTCTGTTTTAGAGGTTCAGATTCCTGGTTTGTAAGATATTCTGGCTATAGCCTTGTTATACAGTAAATCTATCTTTGCTCTGAAGCAGTAGTTGATGCTCATTATTATAAAAAACGTAGGGTGTGTGCTTTTATTGTTTCCAAAATCTCTGACAGAAAGACAGACATTTCTATCCAGGCCTGAGTTATTAGATTCTCTGAAGAAGAAAAGATCACCTAATCAACTATTTAGTCAGGCACTTCACTTGTGTGCATTCAACATGTGAGACCATTTCCAAGTGTTTTACCAATAATGTATTTCTGAATGCTGAAATTAAATTGAGAGACCATGGTTGGTTGGTTTTTTTTCCTTTTTCATGGCCACACTTTAATTAGACCTTAGACCATTGATACAACTTTGTTTTCTAGTCTCATTATTATATAAAGTAGGATTAAGAAACTTTATCCATTGAGAATCATAAAGCAGATGTACTTAGGTCAATGAAAGGATTCTTCAGTATGAATATTGGAATTCTCAACCCTCATGGGTCCATGAAGGTACATAGGGCCACAGGCAAATCTTTTTAGATTCTCAGAAAGAGACTGGGATTCAATATAGAACCAGTAACTTAACAGATAAAGACATAGTGTGACATTTGTTTGTTCAAATAATTAACTATAGGTGAAGTAGCTGTATATTGATCTGCCAGGCAGATTTCTGTAGTTATAGCAGCCCTCATGTCTTCATATATAAAAAAAATGGGCTGAGAAAGTAGGTAAGTTAATGGATTGTGATGGCCAGGCTCTGTCTTGACTGTATTATAATTTGAATTATCTAAGAACCAAGCACACCTGAAAACAGATTTAATCTTATCCTCTCATAGAGAAGTAAGGCTTTTTATTTTGTGTATTCATCTTCTCTTTTGTTCTTTGCCAAGATTCTATTTCTTACATTTAGCATGTTGTTTCCCTTCATACTAACATTTGTAGCTTTCTGAGGCATTCAGCATAATCCAGTTGCTCTCCAGACCCTCTACTATTGACTGGCCCGTCAGTCAGTGCACCTCAGCATGGACAATGTCGTAATTACATGAACGGAATGTGACTGACGTTTTGTGAGTTTTTCTGTCTTCATTAAATTTGTTCACCTTCTCTGAAACCCCTCATGCTGCACACTAGCACGGAGCAGCCGTATCCCTCGACCCAGCATGAGTCAGGGGTGCAGCCGCGATACCAGCCGTGAGAGCAGCCGGGATACAAGCCCTGCTCGGGGCTTCCCTCCACTTGGTGAGTACACGGAGGTGCCTCTGGGAGTGAAGAATTCCTTCCCTTGCTCCAAATGCTTTTCCAAAACACTGCTAAGGAATGACCTGCTTTCCCTCCTCTGCTGTCCTCGTGCACCTGTCTTGTCTTTCTTCCTCCGTAATGTTCCTCTGCATGTTTGGATTTTTATATAATCAAGAAAAAACCACCACTTCACTCAATATGTACTGTTGCCATTTATAATCATGTAAGCCCATTTGTGTGATAATTTCTAGTAGGAAGCAAGACTGAGCCAAAGGTATATCCTGCTTAAAAACAAAGTAAGCCAAATTTTATTCTTAGTCATTGAATTTCTAGAATTTTACTTCAACTTTATAAAAAATAAGACTGTGTGATCCAATTTAAAGAAGAAACAGAAGTACTATATTGATTAGAAAATGGAATATTCTGGTTAAAAAAGGATAACCTTAATGTAAAAAGCTGAATCAAAGAAGAATTTAGTATGTTTTTGTTAAGTAAATAATTTTGAAGTTTTCTTTAAAGGAGTCTAAAGAAACTTTTTTGAGAAACTTCTTAAATGTACAATACAAATGTTAAACTTTGCATTCTTAATTTTATGCATGTTCTCATTTTCCTTGGACTTTAGAGTATTTAATCTTTGTAACCTGATGCCATTCTTGGATCAAAAACTGACAATATTTGATTATTGCAAGGTAATGTCAGATCTCCACCCCAGATCACCAGTCAAGTATTAATTGGGTTTTTCCTTTTTTTTCCTCCTCATAGTCAGAATTTGTCCTTTCTGAATTTCCCAACAACTGGAGAAAATTCATGACAAATCGAGAAGAATATGTATTTTACAGAGTATTCTATTTACTTTTTACTTCTAATAAGTCTTTCTTTTTCTAAAATAGACATTTATTTACCTTTTTACAGAATGCAAATTATTGATCCTCAAAGCTGTTTATCACCCCATATTTTTACAGAAAGAAACAGGATATTTAAAGAATTATTTTTTCATTCTTTGCTACATAAGCATTGTGCATGTGTATATTTTCCTTTTGGTAACTATAAAAGGTATGAGTAATTTTATAATTACTAAGCCCATCTTTGAAATGACTGTGGAATAATTGACTGCAGCAGTCAGCTATTATGACTATGTAGTAATATTTTTACGTAATTGACATTTCTATCAGATGTCACTAGTAGGGAAAAATGTTAGATTAAGATCATTGGGTCTTAAAATGTACTTCTATTTCTTTTTAATTCTGTCTTTTTTTCTAAACTAGTATCAGTAATCAAAGTCTAAATATATTTCTTTATGATCCATTATCCTTTTATCCTCATAACGGATAAAACATCAGGTAAATACATACGACAGCCCTGCTAGTATTAGATGACTCACATGATTAGTCAGAAAAGGCACTGAATGTTCATAAACTTGAGACTGAGTGGAATGCTTCTCTGGCACGGACCAGCCTCTACAGCAAGCTGAAGCTGTCAATCCAAGTCCTCTCAGTATAGGAGTCATAGTGATGTTTTTATTTTTATATTGTTTTTCAGGAAAAAAAAATTGATCATCTGTTTTACCTTCCAAGCAACCTATTCTAATAAGTGAACAATTGAATCAGCTTATTACTTATTTTGACAGTTTGGTATTTTATTTCATAGGTGCACTGCTGTGTACTAACGACAGCCATTCTAGTCCAGCATATGGACTAGACCATGGACTAACCAGAGTGTACTTCATTCTTACAAGTCCCAGTTGAACCCTGCAGAGTTGCATTATCTAAATTAACTGTTTCATTTCGGTTAAATAGAGCTGCTTAATTATCTTGGTGAAGACCTAGAATGTAAAAATTTAGAATTGTTCCTCCCAAAGCAGAAGATACCGCTGCAGATACTGTTCTCGCCTAACCAACTCTTATATGTGCCTTTTGTTGTGATCTGGGCAGTAACTTCTTTTGAGCTTAGTTTTTAAACTATGTTCCCTCAGGTGAGGACCTGAGGGTAAATATATCTCTATAGTTTCTATCCATCTTTTAAGGAAGCAAAAAAGTCTTGGAGAGATTAGGCAACTTTGGGAAATGAAATATTAAGATCACACAGCTAGTAAGTGATGGAGCCAGGATTTTAATCCACATCTGACTACATAGCTCATTGTTGTCTTGCTTTATGTGAAAGTTGTTCTGACTTTTCACTGTCTTTCATCAGTTTCTCAAAATGCATTAAGTACTTTATTTGATGGTCAGGCACAGAGAGTTACACCAGTGATGTTTCTGAATTGCTGATTATTATTATCATTATTATTATTATTATAATTGCTGATGATTATTAAGATCTGGGTATTTAAAGATAAGTCATAGAAAGTTGTTATCCTTAGATGAATTTATCTGCCCTGTTTTATTTTGAGAAGGGGAGGTTTCTCTCTTTCATTACACTCAATAACCATTTATCATCCCATCTGCCTATTAGTGAGATAGTGTGTCAGCTTTTGAATTAGCTTTATAGTCAGCCTTTAAAAAGAGAATGAAAGTAATATATAAAATACGTATATAGAAGCTACATTGCATTCCCAAAGGCATGCAGTTTGAATTCACCAGCTCCTCTGTTTGAGAAGAATGGACAGTATCCTTCTGTGTGATTAACTGTCTCTGTCTCTGAAAACCCACTGGTGGGTCAGCTATGGGTCGGTTCTGACTCAGTGGCACACAACAACAATAACGGCATATGATATATATTGTTTTTATTATAAAATTGTTTGGCCCATTATAATGTATATAGACCCTCTCCTCACTTAATCAACATCATTAGAGTCTGAAGATTAGGTTATTATGTGAAAATGAAGGATGCTCACATCAGATGACAACACTGAGTATCACTACATCACAGCATAAATGCCAAGGTGCATCATTATTGTCAACAACTGAAAACTAGCGTGTGACTTTAGTCTCAACAGCAAACATTACTCTCCCTTCACACCTCAGTGATAATTACTTCCAGATGTATATCACTGATGTAAAAAATAGTTGGATAATAGTTTTTACTGTTGTAAATAGGAAATGTCAGATAATGTAGTTGATAGGTAATAAGTTATTTTCATATGGCTACAGTAAAAAAAGGTCTTAATAAGGTGACATTAAGGGCTCTTGGACTTTTTTTAAAAAATCAAGCTTTGCTGTAAGTGAGTCCACCTTGGATTCCATTTTTGGTTGTTTACTTACAAGTGTAACAAAGGACTTAGTGTCTGTCAGATTTACTGTAGAACATTTTGTTGAAGCAGAACAAAAGGCAATTTTACAAAGAACTTCCCAGATCAGGTATGGCATAAAGGTTGTTTAAGCTATCATATTTAAGCTATCAAGAACTTATTTTTGTACATCTTGAAGGAACTTTCCAATTTACTAGCTGGTAAAAATTTGTTTTTATTGATTGAATAATCTTTACTCTTTATACTCCATATACCATGGGTATCAACATTTTGTAAAGTGCTATTATGTAAACAAAATCTGCTGAAGGGTTTGAAATTTGGGTGTTTTATGACAAATAAGTGTTAAGTGATACTGTACTCGAGTTATGAAAGGGGAAAGTAACACTTAGTAATTTGTTAAGCCAGTGGATTTTCTGTAGGAAAATCATCATATTCTTTTCAGAGTATTGAATGCTATTTTTATTCTTTCTAAGGTAAAGAAAAACAATATATTACATAGTACTATGGTTGGTAAAGTAACTATTTTTAGTGAAGATTGTATTTCATTGATTACCTTCAGAGTGAATATATTTTACATGGGAGTTTTAGCATATATTTTCCTGAAGTTGGTGAATTAACATTTATGCACTATTAATAATTTTGCCAAATAAAATACTATTTTGATAGAAAAATATAACTTGGAGTTTACTTTTAGCCAATGGCAGCATCATCACCACTAGCTACTATTTCTACCAGTATTTACTCTGCCAAGCACTGTTTAAGTGCTTTATATATTATCTCATTTAATTCCAAGAAGTAAGTGCCATTGTTTAGACCATTTGACAGTTGAGGGAACAGACACAGAGTGTGTTAGTACTTTGCTTAATGTCCTAGCTAGTTTTGATCTAAACAGGATTTGTACACATTTATATTACAGATCTAGTCCTCATAATCATAGTACTGCAACTGGCTCCAAGGAAGATCATAAAATGTATTATAGCTATATTAAACAAGTAGTGCATTCATTAATAATTAGTATATTTATGTTGATAGGGAGATTCCAAAGCCAATAAAAATTTTAATGGCCCTTATAATCAGACTGGAGAAAATAGAATTCAAGTGGTTAAGCTGCCTTTCTGTGGTTTTATTCTCTCTTCAAAAAAAACCATGAATTTCTACACTTTTGTTTTTGATGCATGATTGTATATGCATCACATATTGATGAAACATGTTGTGAGCTGAGTTATTAATCCATCTTACTGCTGTTCCACTTCGGGATTTAGATATATGGTACTCGGTGACTCTTGATGGTTCTTCATGTTACATAATTCCATATTGACTGATAATGGCTTCATGGCGTGAATATAAACCCAGAGTCTAAATTGGTTGATTGATATCTTGAAGAGTACCTTGTGCTTGTGTGCTTAATTAGCTCTGTGAGAGCCAGCAGGCTACTGTGGAAGTTGGGGATTGGCACTTGCTATCCATTCATATCCTGCACCATTTCTTTTCATGAGAAAACATGGCCTTGTTGGTAGCAGTCCTGTGTTTTCTTCGGACTGTGGCATTTTCTGTCTCAGGTACTTGTGTGTTAATCCTGTGGGTGTTGCCATTCCTTTTACCTACAGCCTCTCGACGTCATTCCAGGTCCACTAGTGCTCTCTCCACTGCTGAATCTGTTGGGCAGTCAGGTGAACAAGTGCTAACTGCATGACTTGCGTCCTCATTTGTTCTAGTTTCACACCCATTTAATGTTTGTTTTCATCATTGTTGGCTAGCACTTGGCATGTGTGTACTTCATATTATTTTTTCCCTTAATGTGCTTTTATTTTTTGTTCTTTAATGTTTCTGTAATTCTAAATAGGCCATACATGTATTATAGTTCTTTTGACAATATCACTTCTTCATTGTTCATACTTATGCTAACATAGTTAAAAATGGGGAGACTTTTGTCTCTTCCCTTTCTCCCAAGAGAACAGCAGTCAAGCTAGGTATGGTGCAGGGCCCCTTTGAGTAAATATCATCATATCATCCAGCAGAGTCTTTGATTGCTTAAGTTTTCACTCCCAATAAAGTATCAGTTACTAGTTCATTATTCGTGTCAGGTTCTAATTCTTTTTAGTTATTTCTAATTACCAAATATTCCAAATAACAGCATATGTAATTTCATATGTATAAAAAGACATTTATCGTCTTGACACATTTTATGGGAAAACAGAATCCAGGTTCAGTTAATCAAGTCAAACCAAAGTGACCCAGTCCTTAGCAGCCTACCAACTCCAAACCTTCCGTCTTTGCCCTGTTTAACAATACAAAAGAAATCCAGTGGTTAACTTTAGGGACCAGAGAGAAACATAAAATTATGTATTGATTTAGGTTTAACTAGTATAATTTTTTATACACTGAGAGTCCTTAGTATTTTCAATTGATTAAGTCATAATCTGTTCATTTGTACATTGCTGATGGTGCCCAACAATGAATACCAGTTCACTGAGTCAGATTCTGTCTTTGCTCTTCTAAATGAAGGCTGCTATGCATTTAACTATATATGCTTTGAAATATGTATTCCTAGGAACATTAGGGCTACACTGAGAACATGTATCTCTTGGAAAATATATAATTAGTAGTAGTGCCATAGCTGCGAGAATATAGTATAGACTTTGATTTGGAAAAAATAAGTATTATAATTTTGTTTAGATCCAAACAGACTTTTCCCCCTGGTATCTTAAGTTAAAATGATCTGTAATACTATCATAGAGTCTATAATTTATGAGAAAACTATGAGCATTTGGAAAGCACAGAATAGAATAATTGCTCAGTTTTTTATCTTAAAGATCATTATTTCCCCTGAGCAAGAATTGCTGGCATGAGATCTACTTTTCCCCCTGCCCTTTTCCTTTTATTTAAAGATTCTGTTTATTTCAGTTTATGCTGGATATTTTTAAATTGCTTACAGTTGAATGACTTTCACTATGTTACTCATAAATTCCCTACTATCTACCCTTTTTTAATGGAAAAATATTTGAGAAAGATCCTTTATAAAACTATATGCTATATATGCAAAACGAATCTCAAATTTACAGTTGGTTCATATTCTAGGTAGTAAATGTGTGTCCAGAGAGAGATAGATGTATTTGTATGATTATTATAGTCTCTTTTTAAGCTTATACGGCAAATTAAATTACCTTTTAAACATAATGGGTAAGATGACGTTCATCTGATCAGCCAGTACATTAAAAAAGGGTGTAGTAAAACATACAATTTTGTTTCTTTATAAAAATTCATGACTGTTTGACTTTTTGACTAGCAGAATTTGGGGTTTTTTTCTTCTTCTGTGGTATTAGAAGGTATAAAATTTTGAAACATGATTAAAGAGGTATCTTTGTAGAAAAGACTTAATTAATACAAAACATTAGTGTTCCCTTTATTCTTAAATGCTTTCTGAATTACTACAATATGGTCAATACAGAAATGTTATTTGTCCAAACAATGTCTTTTTTGCTGATACAGAGAAAAGGGCTGTTTAATTTTAACTCCCCCCAAAAGGCTTTTATGCAGTAGAGTTTTGTATATGAAACATCTCACACTAGCAGATGGTATGACACACTTATAAAGTGTAGCTTACACTGCTTCTCTCCCATTATTGCAGCTTCCAGCATTTTTTAGTAGACTGATTCACTGATTTAATGGACCTGGGGAAAGTTAGTCTTCATTTCCATGATCATTAACACACTTAGAGTAGTTGTCTAAACTGTCAAAATTTGTTTTACATTCTTTGAATTTTTTTCATTTCATTTACAAATATAAAAACCATCATTCATAAATCCTTTGAGGAATTCAGGTAAATTTTATACTGAATGTTACTGAATGATTAATGTTTTACGGTTAAGCTAGATTTTTGCAGTGATTAAATACTTTTAATAAAATTTATTTTTAAGTAACCTTTGTTCATGACTCAGCCATCAGGATAAACAAGTATCTAAAACAAATTTTACCTTAAAATCAATTATATAGTAGTGACACTAACTAAAATTGGCACACAAATGCATTTAACGTCCCCCCCTTTCCACTTCTATGTCTTCAGAACTTTTCAATAGTCAAATTTTATCGTTGCCATTTTTAAATGGCAGGATGCTCTATGGCATATTAAATGTGAGAAATTTAAACTTTGCCACTGGTAAACAAGTCAAGAATAGTTAAAATTGGCTAGAGATCTTTTTAGTGCCTCTGTCTAGTTAGTGGGGAAAAGACATAAGCCCTTGCAAAGAATTGAGCGGGTTTAAATTCAAGTGACACCTCTTTTGCTTTTGTGTTTTGTTTTGTTTTGTTTTGTTTTAAATAGACCGGTTTGGGCTCGGCCAGCCAGGAAGAATACCTGGTTCTGTGAATGCCATGAGAGTTTTGAGCACCAGTACAGACCTTGAAGCTGCAGTTGCTGATGCTTTGGTAAGAGGCACAGCATGTACACTGAGTGTCTTTCAACCACCCATCTGTGCTATTTTCAGTCCTAACAGGAAAGTGTCCTAATTTGGGTGACTAAACAATCTTTGACACTCTTAAAGTTGGTTAAATGTTGGGTAAACTTATGTTATTATTATTGCTTTCTCCTGAAACTTTTACCTCTACATGTAAGTGAAAGTTGTCCTTCCAGAACATACTGGCATCAAATACTTAATATTGAAGAAGTTTTGATGATGTCAGCCTTTTCAGATGTCCTTTAGCTGCTTCTGCTTTTTGATGTTGTTTTGTTTTGCTTTGTTTTCTTTCTTTTGTTCTAGCCATGTATTTTCAGCTTATACTTCTATCACTTTATTGCTTCCTTTTCACTTGTAACAGAGTTTGATGCTGTGGTCTAAACTGTCATTATACTATTAGATAATAGAATTTGCTGTTTGGAGATCTTTCATTTATTCCATTATCTTATAGTTCATTTTTTACAAATATGTTTGTTGTGGTTTAAATGAGACTTTAGGTCATTATTAAGGTCCAATATTGACAGAGTGTATAAGTCCAATATTGACAGAGTGTATAACTCTTTTTGGGCTACTAAACAGAAAGTTGGTGTTCTGAATCTACCAGCTACAAATTACTCTGAGAGATAATAATAGTTACTCTCTTCCAATAACCAGTAGAAGATCTCCACGTGTGTTGTACCAACTTTAAGGCATTGTGTTTGGTTTTGGTTTAAGTCATTATTAAGAAAGCATTCCTCAATGTTAAGGACAATTCTTTGAGGGTGTAAAACACCAGTGTAGTGTGTTTTCGCATCATTATAATGTGATATGTAAAAACAATCTCAGATGATCAGAGGTTAAAGCAGAAATTTCTTTGTAAAATCAACTTGTAGTTGTCTTAAGGATGTATTTCAGTCATTAACAGTCTCTTGGATAATCTGGTTCATGTATTTAGCATTCTAAATAGGAATTATTTAGAACTGTCTGATCTCTGACTCTGCCTTTCTTGTTTTAAGATTTATGATTTTATAAAGAAAAAGTACATAATGTTCTTTTTCAAGTGAATCTACCTTTTCATCTCTTCTCACTCATTTGTTCTTGCTCATATATCTTGGATAAGTGTCTGTGAGCAAGCATTTTGGTCCTCTTAGAATGCTTTCCCTGTAGACAAGGATTTCTTGGCTTGCTCTGTTCATCAGCCCTATGTATACCAGATAATTAGAGTTAAGGGTAGATATTCTAACTGTGGGTTTTATGTGAGTCAAGAGCTGGAATTGAATTTTGAGAAGCTGTTTCTCTTTCCAAGTTTCACTTTTGGAATATGTTCCTTTTTTACTTAGAGTTCCTAGGAAGTGAAAAGGTAGGAAATGATGGAACTTGCTGTTGATGTGGGACAATATTCTTAGTAGTTAAGGAACTACATCAGGGACTATTCAAAGCCATAAAAGACAGAATGGGACTTGAGTTTGAATGTTGGCTAAAGTTGTGCTTTGTCTCTGAGCTCTAGCTCCCAGTACACTCATGCTGTAAATCAGTCCTGGACTTAATAGCTGCTCTTATTGTTTCCTGTCGACTGTTTGGTACCTGGCAATGATCTGATTCAGGACAAAAGAGTAAAAGAATGGCACTGAATCCTGCTTTACAGAATAGAGCTGAGGCAGATAGAGTGTAACAAGGAACAGACAGGAGAGCTAACCATGCCTTTGTAGCTGAACATGCTTCACTGGCATGGGGAGAGTTTTGGTCCAGAGTCATGGCTGGTACTGGAGAGGTCTTATTAAAGATGGTAGGAGATGCCATCTGGAAAGCATTCTTTATTATTGCTTGGTATAAATGCCTGCTGTATTTTTGGTTTGCTAAAATATGTTTTGCTATACACTTTTGTTGCAAGAACAGTCCCTACATATGCTTCTGACATAATTCTCTATGCTTTTTCCCCATCCTTCAATATTTTCCTGCCTTCAGCTGTTAGGAGACTCCAGGAGCAAGGTACCAATGCTTTAACTTTTGTTTTATGACTTTTTTTTTTTTTTTGCAAATATATTTTCTTTAGAAGCTAGTGAGAGCAACCAGAAGCAGAGTAAAGACACTGTGACATTACGTTAGTGAGTTTAGTATTACTTCTAGTGTTTATTTTGAATGTCATCGTTTGTTCCTTCTCCTGTTAATATTTTATTTTTTAACCCTTTTTGTAACTGCTCTCTTATACCTTTATTACTTCATTCATTAATTCATTTGCCATTTTTCTTATTTTAAGAATATAGTTTGTAAGTAAGTGGAATGATCATATAATTCAAACAAGGTGTTTTAGAGAGTGAGAGGGAGTGTTTTTAATAATTATAGTGGGACAGTAAGCATAAAAAATGTGAATGAAGCAGGTAATAAAAAGTAATGAAGTTAACTTTAAAATTGGCCAGTTGTGTTAAAAACGTTTAAGCCCTTAGTAAAAGTTGCTCAGTTTATATAAGTATTCTTTTGCCTAGGATATTTCTGTCCCTGACATTTAAATTTCAGATTTTCTTAAGGACACATGAATAATCAAAACAAATTTACACCTAAACTATGCTCAAGATGTTTTTAATTGTGGGATTGGTAGGTATATATACTTGAAATGTGTTAGATGCTGAGCTGAGTCTTTTAAAGATATTCTTCAATTTAATCTTCACAACAAACTTGTGAGAGACATTTAATTAGTTCTGTCTTAACATTGGAGGAACTGACACAGAAAGATAAGGTTTATGACAGAGTTCTGATTATAACACCGTGCACATTAAAGCCCACACTCTTTATTCTCTGCTAAATCTTGCCATCTTACTACTTAATTCACCTTTTAGAACACTGCTTCTCTTTCTTTTTCCTAACCTATAAATGCAGGGAAATTATATTCTTGTGTGTGTAAGTCTTTCTTACTTTAGAACTTTTATTGCTCAGTTTTATTGGCATAACTCATGGTAACCTATTTATTTCCTTTATGTTTTTCCCCCATCAACCTCATCCTTCATTGGATATGGCAGAAGAAGCCTGTGAGGAGGAGATATGAACCCTACGGGATGTATTCTGATGATGACGCCAACAGTGATGCCTCGAGTGTCTGCTCTGAGCGCTCCTACGGCTCCAGGAATGGTGGCATTCCCCATTACCTGCGGCAAACCGAGGATGTGGCTGAAGTGCTCAACCACTGTGCAAGTTCTAACTGGTCAGAAAGGAAGGAAGGACTACTCGGCCTGCAGAACTTACTGAAGAGCCAAAGAACACTGAGGTGAGCATGGGGCACAAGTTGGGAGCCAAGATTGTAACCTGTTTAAAACCACTGGGCTCATCGGTCAGGTAAGTGACATGCCTGTCATGAAAGGAGGCTTTACAAAGTTACAGGTGCTGTTGCAGACACCAATGACACTAAAATGACTAGGACACAACCCTTCCCAGCAAAAGGCTTTGTACTAATCTGGCCAGCAGTTTATAGTTTGGAAGTTTTAGGAAACATTCAGTTCCTTTTGGCTATCCTTTTTCCAGTAGTTATTTTTATTTGAGAAATCTTGATAGAGTTTGCAGTTTGCATAGGAAACAGTGCAACCTCAAGGTGGTACCATTCATTATCAAGATACTAGAGAAAATGATTGCATTCTCAATGTAAAACTCCACTATTAGCAAAAGAAAACCACACACTTGAATTGCGCTCTTTGGTGACCTTTACAGCGTCATTAGACTCTGGGAGTTGGGGGGCTAGATGTCCAGATTTGGAGGATGGACTCTAGGGGGCGGCTTTTTTTTTGTGTTTGCTATGAAGGAAGGACTTTATCTCTTCAGCTTCTTTTTTTCTTCCTGGGAGATCTCCATGATCTTGTCAGCTATCTTTCCACTGCTTCTTGCTGTCAAGTCAACTTCTACTTTTAGCAACCCTATGACAAGAGAACAGAATCCTGCCTGGTCCTGCTGTGTCCTACCAGCTAGTTGCTACATTTGAACCCTTTGTCGACGTGATGCCGTTCTCTAGGGACCAGCTCCTCCAGACAACATGTTCAAAGTATGGGAGACAAAATCCCACTATTTTTTTTATCTGAGGAGCACTCTGGCTGCCCTTAATCTAAGATGGATTTGTTTGTTCTTTTGACAGTCCATGGTATATTGAGTATTCATCTCCAACACGCAATTCAAAGGCATCAGTTACCTGATTAATCTTCCAACTTTCACATGCATCTAAAACACTTGAAAGTTGTTAGGTTTGGGCAGGCACACCTTAGTCTTTAACATGAATTTCTAGTTCTTTATTGATCAGTGTAAGGAGCTAATGTGAGAGTAGAAGGAGAACAGTATTAGTAATAACAGTAACTGCCCAGTTTGAATCAGCAGCGCAGTTTTGTACATCCAACTGTCTGTTCATAGTGAGTGAGGTGATGGGTTACTAATAGCAAGGTTAGAGAGCTTCAGCTGCTCCATGGATGAATGATGGCCAGTCTCCTCCAGTAAGGATTCACAGCCTCAGAAACCTGGAGAGGCCCCATGAGTGGGAATTGACTCAGTGGCCATGGGTTTGTTTGCTTTTTGGTGAGATATTATGTAAGGATCTGACTTACATGCAAAATAACTCCACAGGGTGCATCCTAAGTCAGGGAACTCTTTATGTATGGACTTTAGAATGGGAAACGAGTTTTCTCTGTAAACTTTCAACAAAAGTACAATAAAATACATTTAACAAAATTTTAAAAACCAACAAAAAACACCACTTCTTTCTCCTGCTAGTTGAATATCCTTTATAGCTCAAAAGACATTTTTTTAAAAGAAGACACACCTTATGCTAACCCTGTTTCATTAGTATTCCCAAACTGGATTATAACCCAACCCATTCCCAAACAGAATTAAAACGACAGGCATACAGGTTGGAACTCAATACACATATTTTTTGGGGAGCCAAGTTCGATCCGTAACAGTGGTCAAGTCTGCTATTGAGCAGAACAGTTACTATGATTTGCAACTAAAACTGTGGGAAGCATCTTAACTGTTGACATTCCTTTAAGAAGAACCTTACCGTAAGTCTGAAATTCTGGCTTCTGTTCTTTCGTGCCTGTTGAAACAGTTGCTCTTAGAAAATACATATAACAACTATCTTATTCCTACAAACTCACTTTTCATAATGGTTCTGTTGTGTAATTTCTGAGCCTCATTTATTAAAAATCATCAAAATGCTTATATTCTGATTAACAGTTTTATCAGTAGTACACAATGTATAAAACTGCTTATCTGAGCATTTTTATAATTATAAATATTTGGAAATAACTTCAGTCTATAATAACAGTAAAGTAATGTTTATCCATTTTGCTAAGTATTTTATCAATGTTTATTTAGCTAATCCTTAGGAAACAAGAATTACAACAGTGCTCATATCTGTTCATGGGATCACTCTGAACTGTAGTCAACTCGATAGCACTGAACAACACCATCCTTAAAACAGTCCTGCCAGGTTGAGAGGGTTGTTAACCTGATTTTACAGGCATGCAGAGGTTAAAGAATTTACTCAAGGTTCAACAGTCAGCTAAGTGCTGGAAACAAGAGTTTTAACTCCATAGTTCGACTCTTAATCACAATAAAATTTTTTTTGCTGCTGTGAGATTAGGTTATAAATTGATTTCAAAGAATATTTAATGAAAAGGAGCTTTGGTGGTCATGTGGCAAGAAGCTGCATTGCAGTCCCAAAGACATGCAGTTTGAGGCCACCAGCTGCTCTGTGGTAGTAGGATGGGCAGTCTCCTCCCATGTGATTACTGCCTCTGGAAACTGGCCAGAGGGTTAGCTACGGGTTGATTCCGACTCATATCCATACATATCATTTATAAAAATAACTGTTAGTGCTAATATTATTGATAGGGTTTTGGTTGCTATATTTCAAATATTTTCTAAAATAAATATTCCTTATACATATTGAAAATGTATTTAGACTATATTTCACCATATTCTAAGACATCATAGATTAACACATTTTATATCCTTCTTAGCAGAAATGGTAATACTAAACTATCACTGATTATAAGATTAATCTTAATTATAGGCATATTAATTATAAAAAAGTAGACAGTTTAGAATATATGGAAGGTAGGTTCAAGTCTACCAGCTGGTCCATGGGAGGAAGATGGACAGTTTTACTGCATCTGAAAACCTGCTAGACAGTCAGGTAAAGGTTGGCACACATCAACAGTCACCTTAGGGTTTTTCGTTTTATTTTTTTAAGATAAAAAAAAATTAGAGACTGGATACAGGTGACTATCGCAGATCTAAGTCCTCCCTGTAAACCTCAGTGACCTTTGACAAATGACTTCGAATGATCAGACTTTGTCTTTTCAGTCTGTCTGACTGCACATTGCTTTCAGGTTAATTCTCGCTCACAGTGACTCCATCTGTTACAGAGTAGAACTAAGCTCCATAAAGGTTTTTATTTGATTTTTTTAAAATACACATATTTTTAAATTCATTGTTGCATATTTTCTTCTCAGTCCAGTCCAACTTGCGATGCCACTCCTTGTTCCAGATTGTTGCCATACATAAAATGCCAGATCATATATTCCTTTTGGGCAGTTCTTCCCCTCATCTGTTCCAATGAAGTGTTCATTATCTATCTACTCTTTTCCCAGTATCTCCTCATAGCCTCCTTTGTCTGTCCTATTTTATAATAGCAGTATTGGGCAGCATTTGTCCTTTCGTGACTGAGATACTTTACTCAGCATAGTGTCTTCCAGGCTCCCCTATGTTGTGTAATGTTTTACTATTTCGTTTTTCAGTGCTGTGTAATACTTGATTATGTGAATGTATCATCATTTTTCTATCCATTTGTCTATTGATGGCACTTGGGTCACTTCTGTCCTTTGCTCATATGACTAACACAACAATGAATATAGATGTGCATACTTCTGTTTGAATCATGACTCTGATCTTTATAGTTAGTATATTCCTAGTAGTGGAATTGCTGGGTCAGTTGGTATTTCTGTTTCCAACTTTTTGAAAAAGCGCCAGACCTACGTTCTGTACTGACTATACCATTTTACATTCCCACTAGCAGTGAATACGACTTGCAGTCACTCCACAACCTCAACATCATTTGTTGTTTGCTGCCCTGTTGAACTTTGCTGTTGTTGCTGTAGTGAGATGGTATCTCATAGTTTTTGATTCACAGAGTTTTTTGAGCTGTGTGATTTACAGAGCAGATGGCCAGACTTTTTTTCTGTTGTACTTGTCGGTGGATTTGAACCACCAACCTTTTAGTTAATACCCAAACTGAAAATTGTGTTTCCCAAGGATTCTAATCTGACTACATCCTGCTGCAGTAATTCTTGCTCCTCATCGTGAAGATGCCAAGAAAGATTTTATTGTTTGCTTTCTTAAAATGTAAGGTCATCTCTGATAATCTAGAGAAATGCCTTGAAAGCAAAGTATTGCAGTTGTTCAAGAGACTCTTTGCTCTTGCTCTTTACTCTTTTTGACCAGTGAGGAGATTGGATTTTCAAGCATGTGGTTTTTGTTTTGTTTCATTTTATCTGTACCAAAACTGAGATTTAATTCTATCTGATGCTAAAACACATGCTTTTTTCCTAGTTCATTTCATTGCCTTTTAGCTATGAAAAGTAGAAGAGAGACTGTTGGTGAGGTAAATGCAATCTGAGCCATCTCATTGCCATTCACTTCCAGATGGGGGAGCTTGCTGTGGTCTCATATTCCTGTGTAATGTCACCATAAATAATCCACTTAGAAAAAACTTAGTTCTATAAGTACGTAAAGCATGCAAGGTTGACTAAAACCAAAGGATTTTTTTTTCTCTCTTTACTCCCACCACCTACTTTCTTTCTTTTTTAATTAATTTTAATGAAAGTTTCCAGAGAGTTTGGATTTTCTCCCTGCCCAACTTTGCCACAGTTTGCTCTTCTCTTTGAAAAGTAAAAGAAAAATTATTTCATTCTTATACAATCCCTCCCCTCAAGTCCACTCCACTATGCAGCCTTCGGCCTTCGTTCCAGACTCCTGTCAAGACAATAATACCTAATCTTATATCCCTTTAAAACAGTTTTCTCCCTCATCTGTTTCAATGCAATATACATACTTTATCCTGTCTTTCTCAGTCTCCCCCCAGCCCCAATGTCAGTCCCATTAAAGAGCAAAAGTGTAGTGAATTGTAGTTCAGTTTATTATACTTTTTATGTAAACTTAACTTGCTTTATTTTTGTTTTATTTCCACTAGTCGAGTAGAACTGAAAAGATTGTGTGAGATCTTCACGCGGATGTTTGCTGACCCTCACAGCAAGGTGAGTCTGGGAATGGTGTCTTAACCTGGCTGCATGCTTTGTGAATTGTGGACTACCCAAGAGTGAGCACAGTGCACTTCAGACCTTAAAACTTTAACTATAAGTTCAACAATATTGCATGTTCTATATTTTAAAAATGCATTTTTTGTTCAAGTCAAGCATTCATAATTTCATGTTAATATGGGCCTTTGATTAAGAATTACTGTGAAAACACCTAGATATAATCTTTAATTTAATCAACAAATATTTTTACACGATTGCTATTAATCAAATACTATACTAGGCATGAGTATGTAAAATTCTATTTTAAGTTGCAGTCATGAAAATAAAATGTGTGTTTATTTGTAGCTAGTAATGGACTTTGTCACATAGGACAGGATAGAAAAATTGAAGCATATATTCATTTGTTAAAGAGCCAGGTTGAATTACTCCTCTAAATGGAATTCTCCTGTCCCTGGTACTTATTAGATCTAAAGGAAGTAGTCACATAGTTGACCCTTTACCGCCCAGGGTCAGAGGAACACTGTGTCTGGAACTGCCTTTTTTGGCAAGGGATTCCCATCTGAACAAAGCCCACCTTTTTTTTTAGGAGTGGTGCTGAGAGAGGAATGCTTGACAAAAGTTTTTTTGAAGTCTGATTTTAAATATATACTGTTGTTTAGGAGGAGGATCCTGGAAGGCTGTTAGTTGATTTTAGAGACAGAAAATAAGGCTGTGAGGAGTACAAGGTAAGGTGAAAAGTAGAGAAAGGAAATAAATTAAAACAGAGAAATCAGCAAGCAAATCTTAAATGCTTAACATGAAGAATGAACTCTCTTATACTACTGTTTTCCTAGTGCATAATGTCTTCCAGATCATGCTAGGAGATAAAACCTAGTAGTTGTTAGTCTAGCCAGTTGCTGGCTTCTTTATTCCCAGTAGGAATTGTCCCTGAATTGTCAGGCATCTTTTCATCCAAGCATTTTCCATTTACTGACTACCTGCTCTAGTTTAGAGACATAGGAGATGATACATGGCTCCTGCCTTTTGAGGTGTTTGTGGAAACTTGGTCTGGAGGGTATTGCACTGCTAACGCAGAGGTTCAGCTCCACCAGTGGTGCTGAGGGAGAAAGACAGACACGACTCCTATGTGATTTATAGCCTCCAGATACCTGCTGGAGGGTCAGCTGTAAGTTGGTTCTCACTCAATGACAATGAGTTTTGAAGTATGTGGAAGCTTAGAGAATAAAAGCAGGGGTTTCCCTCAGCAGTGTTAATTATCACTCAGCAGTGGTCTTAAAGTATGTGTTAAAACATGGTAACAACCTCACAGAAAGGTTAACATTAATAAGCTCTAGGAAGAGTTTAAAGACCACGTAGATATCCTAAGATAAAATTTTCAGAACTTTTAAGTAAGTTGTAAGACTAAGTATAAATATAATAAGATTAGTAAGATTAGCAACATAGGGATATTAGATGGTTTTGGACATTGATGGAATTTCTATTACCTGTCACCTCTAGATTGCGGATTCAGAACCAGAATTTGAGGATAAAGGAGGAAATTTGTTTTCATCAGAAGGCTCTTGTACAGTGAGTTTGGAGGTCTCAGTTTAGTTAATATTTGCTACCTGCCTGTGAGCAAACCAGGAATCCCACAGCTGGGGCTCATTTACTTTCTTCTAAGTTGTCTCACAAGAGATCCCTGGTGTTAAATAGTGACTGTGCTAGAATTAAGCAAGTATGTTTCAGTAGACTAAGTCTTATTAACATATTACTTACCTCTCTGAAAATGTTTTGGAGCTGTGCTCCAGTAGATATGAGGAAAATAGGAGCTGTCAGTACTTTTCCATAAGCCATGATTACCTAGTGTTGATAAATACCCAAGATAGCATATGCAAAAAGAGCTTCCTCAATGAAAAGTTACACTCAGAATAATGCATAGTTTTTCTGATAACTACTTGTTGAATACTTGTTAATAAATTAATATTAAGAGAATTATGACATTTAAAAATGGTTTGGTAGGGAGTTTTGGTGGCCTAGTGGCAAGGCACGCAGTTTGAATCCACCAGATGCTCCGCTGGAGAAAGAGGGGCAGTCTCTTCCTGTGCCAGTCAGATCTGATTCTATGGTACACAATTTAAAAAAAAAAAAATTGAAAATGGTTGGGTGTGGTTATTATTATTATTTTATTATTATTATTATTATAGAAGAGGGCAGTGAGGGCTAGGGAACCCTGGTGGTGTAATCCATAGGGAGTTGTGATATTAACCTAAAGGTGCCATCTCTGAGGAGGTTCAGATCCACCAGTGGATTCAAACGGTGTTGGGAGAAAGAGGTGGTCTCCTCCCATGCAGTTTAAAGCCTCTGCTAACCCCCACTAGAGCTATGAGTTCAAGTGAGAGAAAGGAGCCGTGATGGTGCATCAGTAAAGTGCCAGATTGCTAGCCTAAAGGCTTACTGTCCACTCTGAAAGAGAAGAGCAGCCTGTCAGTAGGCTTCCTTAACAAATTACAGCCCATAAAATTCACAGTGACCCACTGCACCAGAACAGGACATCACAGAGATCACAGTTGGTGGAACAGCACATAACCACTTTCTGAGAAAGAAGAGGCTATTATTTTATCAGTTTATCATATTTTTTCAGAAACTGCATGAAATAGGTATTAATTCACTGTAGACTAACATTGAATTTGTTTTGTTGCATGGCCTGCTTTGCGGTGGATTTCACAACAGAGAGTAAGTTTCAATCCGTTTTTGTCTATTTCCTTTAGTTCCTACACCTTCTTAATGTGAACAGTTATAATGTGAGGATTAGGAGTCTGTGCAAAATAGCTTCATCTACTCAGAAGGACTAAATGGTGCCTGGCTGCCACCAGGGACCCATTCTGATTGGGGTTCCTGTACTTTGTACCAGGTGGAATGGGAGAAAAATATGGAGAACTTAAAATAAAAATGTTAGACAATGTAAAACAGTAAAGCTAGAGTAGTCTCAGAGCCTCTTGCCCTCAAGCATGCTATACAATTAGGGCTGAGCGCATCCTAAGGTGGCCTATTTAGTGAAATAGCAGAATGGAACACAAAATAAAGGATACCACCTATAAAATTAGGGAACTTTGGTGGCCGAGTGGGTAAAGAATTTCACTACCAGCTGAAATGTAGGAGGTTTGAATCCACCAGCAGCTCTGAGAAAGATACATGGGCAGTCTCCTCTCCTGCAGGTTACAGTCTCTGAAAACCTGCAGGAGGCTCAACTATGAGTCATTTCTGACTCTGGCATATAGCAGGAGTACCATCCTGTAAGATCAGTGCCCTGCTTGACGGAGCCCTCTATATGAAACCTAAAGTTTAACAATAACTCAGAATCAAAGACGAGATAATAAGCAGAAAGGTAGAGAAGTGGAAACACAGTATAAGAATGTTGACTATAAATGTAGCTAACGTCACTGAACAATTTATGTGGAAATTGTCAAGTGGGAGGCATAAACTTTCACCAAAAACTCAGTAAAATATTACTAAAAAGAAAAGAACATCAGCCTTTTCATTTTTATAAACATTGGAAGGAATTGTTAATTGAATATGTGAAATGTATGGCTTTTATCTGTGTCATTTTTCTAGGTTTTCAGCATGTTTTTGGAGACACTGGTTGATTTTATAATAATTCATAAGGATGACCTACAAGACTGGCTTTTTGTTCTTCTCACACAATTATTGAAGAAAATGGGAGCAGATTTACTTGGATCTGTGCAAGCCAAAGTTCAGAAGGCTCTAGATATAACGAGGTAATTCTTTAAGGAGACCATTTTCACGTTATGTTGTTATTGTTATGTGCCATCGAGTTGCTTGCGACTCATAGCAACCCTATGTGTAAGAGCCCTAAACGTCATTCTATCCTTTGCCAACCTCGCTGTCTCAAATGCACTCATTCCCACCACTCCACTCACAGAATCGAACCATCTCATCAAGGGTCTTCCTCTCCTGCACAATCGCTCCACTCTCCCAAACATGATGTCCCTCTCCAAGGACCAGTCCCTCCTTGCAACATGCCCAGAGTATGCCAGATGCATTATCTTTTGTTCCATGTAATTTCTGTCTGCCCACTCAAGTAACTGCTGTCTTGTTTCCCAGGCTCCTGACATGTTTGTTAACGTGGCCCAGCCACCCCAAAATAGGAATGATCTCTTCAGGGCTAAAGCATACAAAGATTTTTAAGAGTCCTATTTTCTGTCTCATTTAGGTTAAACAAAATTTCTAACCTACCAGTTGAATGAAATGTTAGAATCCGTGGCTTAATCTCCTGCCGGTTTATAGAGATGAGAGCAAGCTGAGACTTGGAGCAGGCCACCGAGTTTCTCAGAGCTTAGAGGCCAAAGTATAGTCTGGAAGAACCGAGATTATTTGGTTTCTACCCACAGTCCCTTAATCTTACAGCCTTCTTTCAGCAACCAAGAAAAATCCAGCATCCTTATTGTACATGTAATGTTCCCTTTAATTCGTGTACACTTTAATATTAATAATTATATCAGATGAAAGTGTCTGTTGTGAAACATTTTGTGTTAAATCAGTCTTTACAATTCTGTACTTAGATTCTTTCATATTGTGCATTTTGTAGATGAGAAAGTTGAGGCATAGACATAAATGTCATTCATCTAAGCACATAATAAAACAGAGTCAAAATTTGAACCCAGGTTTGAGAGCATATTGGTGTTCTACACTGTGAACTCTTTTTTTTTTTTTTCCCACTAGCCCTATGGATCTGTGTAATTACAGTGCTGTGAAATTTAGATACCCAAAGGAATTTTCTTTCTCATTTCTGTTGAACTACTTAAGACTTTCAGATTCCATCACCCCTTGAAATGATAATGCTTATTGAAATTAAGATATTTTTCTCTATACCAAGTGCTAATGGATTTATAAACATTTATCCTAGGCTTGATTGAAGGCCCTAGGCTGATCCAGCTGCCATGACTAAGAAAAGTGAATAAAAGAAGGTTCTGGTGTGCTTCAGAGCCACAGCCTGTGTTGCCATGTTGGAGTGGGGCCCATGGTACCAGGCTTTCCAGGAAAGGTCACAAGTGTGGATTTGGGCAATATAGTTGAAATTTTCCGTGTTACTGTAAAAGCAAAATGAAATGTACGAGCCAGATTTGTGTTGCAGGTCACATTTAGCAAGCTTATAAATGGTAGGAATCTTCTCAAGGGGCCCTAATAGCATAGTTTGTTGAGTGTTGGACTGCTAATTGAAGTTGACAGCTTTAATTCACTTGCCACTGTCCAGGAGAATAAAGCAGCCGCCCCGCTTCAGAACCTTGACAGATGTTTGCCATGATTCAGTGGCAGTGGGTTAAGTTTGAAGTAAGATCTGTTTCAGATTTTAAGGTATGGTGATATTAAGGCTATGTTCCTGAACTGGTGGTTAAGAAAACAAATTGTACCTTATTGGTTTTTTGGATGCCTCTCTTAAGAATTTTAATTTCAGTAGATTTGATTTCAACACCCTAAGGTGTTCACATTATTGCCACCTTTTTCTCAACAGCTGAGATGTGTAGCTCTGTAGGCGTCTGTGTTCTGTGTTTATCAGTGATGAGTTCACTTCTGGCAGTGATAGACCTTTTAATCCTCTACAGTTTCTTTCTTTGGTTTGTGCCTAGAAACAGGTCACATTTCTGAATTGAACATGCCAGTTAAATTAAGTGTATTTGTCATCTATCCCTTGATACAGAAGAGAGTCGGGCATTTTGCATATGGTATTTCAATCCTTGTCTTAATTTACAGTCAGTCTGAGTCACTTAACTGCATCAGTAAAGAAACCAAGGACTGATTCAACTATGAACACTAGAGTATACATGAACACTAGAGTATGCTTAATTTCTACTAATGGTCCTCAGAGCTTCCTGCGTATAAATGGAATTCTGTTTAGTCAAATATACTGGGGGTTTTTTCAGTTATCCTAATATGATAAGCACTAAAGAGGAAGACCTTGAATGAGATGGATTGACCCAGTGACTGGGGTAATGAGGATGGGAATGTTGGGGATGATGAGGTCGGCTCAGGATGGAGCAGGGTTCTGAGCTGTTCTACATAGAGGCACTTTGAGGTGCACTCTACTTGACGGCACTTAAAAACAATACAGCATGCTAGTACCTAACATACACAACATATATTTTTCTTTGAAATTATTTTACTTTTCAGATTAATCTGAGGTAGGTACTGATTGCTTTATTTTATAGACTGAAACTTGCATTCCTGCTTCTTTTATTAAAATTAATTAAAATTTTATAGACTATAAACTTTTATATCTATAGAATTAACTATAGGTAGAGAAAATTTTACAGAAAACACAATCCAGAGAAATCATTCAATCCTTTAACCTCCACTGTAATTGATGATTTTATTATATCATCTTGTCTCTTAGTATAGAAGTCATATCCTCATTATCCATATCGGTTTCAGTATACAGTTTTAAACTAATCATAGTGTCTTGGAAGAAATGTAACCAGAATGCTTCTTAGACATGAGGATAGAGAGACTGTTTCATGTACGTTGAGCATGCTATCTGTCAGGAGGGTACTGGTTCCTGGAAGTAGACTTGCTTCGTGAGGTAGGAAGGTGGTGAAAAAGAGCACAGCCTCAGTGAGATGGATTGCACAGTGGAGCCCAGTGGCTGCAACAGAGGGCTCAAACAGTAGCAGAAGTGAAGATGGTGCAGAAGTAGGCTGTGTTTCGTCCAGTGTTACCTCAAAACAGTGTCTTGGCTGTACCATTAATACAATGTGAATGACTAACTACAAATTGAATGCCTTTAAAGAAAGAGAATTTTACGAAAGAGAATTTTACTTGATAGTTTTGGAGGCTCAAATTCCAAAGCATTGACTTTTTTACACATGTTGTTTGTTGTCAAATCAAACTGACCCACAACTGACTCTCCAGATGATTTTCAGAAGCAGGAAAACACATGGAAGGAGATTGCCCGTCTTTGTCCCACAAGTGCATTCAAACCATTTGCCTCTGGCCTGGCAGCCAGCTCCTTCTAAACACCAGTGCTCCTTTATGCATAGTCTCAAGCATATCTTGGTTCCTTGATTTAAAAGAAAACTCATACAATACCTGTTTTCTCATGTGTGCATATCTTTGTGCCCTTTTTATACCTCAAGTGACTAGATTTAGAACCCATATTACCAGATGTGACCCAATTAATATGAAAAAACAACAACAACAAACAAACCATTTCCAAACAGAATTACAACCATAGGTGTATGGGTAAGATTTCAATACATGTTGAGGTTGGAAGCACAATTTAATTTATAACAATTAATAATTACAGCATTTTGAGAGAGTAAGCACTCACTTCCATTAGTCAAGAGCCTTTTAGGTTTGCTTAATTGGATTAAAAATGTTAAATGACTACAAAAACGGGATCATTAACAGGTAAGAAATGAGGTAAGAGAAAAGACTTCTAGGACTTGAGACCTCTGTGTCTTCTGTAGCTGGATAGGGAATTGTTCTTTGCAGACAAGCACTTTTATGGTAGTTATTGTGTAAAATTAATAAGCAATGGCCACGCTGGAGCTAAGGAAGATAATATACCTAAAAGAGTCAGCTCTGAACACCTAGTTGAGACATAAAAATAGCATTTTTAAATTGAAGGTGTTTTGATGTAAGCATTAGTCAGAAGGGTAATTGGAAAGAAAGTGCAAAAACCTTTAAAGGGTCGGGGGGGATATCTATTTTGGTTTATTAATTGGTCTGAATTCTTAAAATAATATACTTAAAACATGTTTTGGAGCTGTGGTGGCCAAGTGGTAAGAAACTGCTCTACAATCCCAAGAAGACACAGTTCAAATCCACCAGCTGCTCCATAGAAGAAGGATGAGCATTCTCCTGTGCAATTAACTGCCTCTGAAAATCTGCTGGAGGGTCAGCTAGGGGTTGTTTCTAACTCAACAATACACAACAATAAAAATGAAGCATATTTAGTATGTGCTTTGTAGTTTAAATTTAAACATTTTAATTTTTGCAAGTTTAATATTTCTAAGTTAAAACGCTATATTAAAAATGTGAACAAATAAAAATTTACAGAAGTTACAAAACGTTCAAAATATTTTTGTTTATATATTTTTGCATTCTTCTCTAATAGATGTATCTTTTTTTTTAATACTTAGGGATTCTTTTCCATTTGATCAGCAATTTAACATTTTGATGAGATTTATTGTGGATCAAACTCAAACTCCAAATCTTAAGGTTGGTAAACAATTTGTCATTATAATTCAACTTTTCAGCACTCAGATTAGCTTAAAGTTCATTTATTTATACATCACTGTTTGGCTTTTATAGATAAAGATGCTGTGAGCTTTCTTGCAAAAATCTTTATGAACATATTAGTATTTCTCTTGATTAAATAACAAGTGGTAGTATTCATAGGATGAGCCTATATGTAGCTTTACTAGAAACTTCCAGAATGGTTGTATGATAGTATATTTCTACCAACATTGTACAAGAGTTCTAGTTGTTCCATATCCTCATGGCCTTTGGTAATTAATTGTTAAATATTAAGTTGTAATCATACCTAAAATAAGAAGACAAAATTTGAGAGATGTGAGTTAATCTGACGTAGATCTTCTTTATCACTTGTTACTTGATGCTTACACTGAAGTTTTGAGAGGGATCAGATAAATAATACTCTTTTTTTCTCTGGTATTAAAACCAGTTGAAGAGTCTAAGGAAATGATAAAGTAGAAAATCCGTTTTATTCCTATTAATTCTTGGCACAAAGTGCCTCATCTGTGTGTGAAGAACTAATTGCAGAGTTGCAGTTACCCTCCCAGTTAGTTGCAGAACTGGAAAATGCCATCTTCCCACGTAGACTCCTACAATGGGAATCTCTCATGGCAGGAGAATGGGCAGAGCACCAATGGTCAGAGACAGGTGTGAGATCTGAAAGCGAAGGGAATGGAGCTGCATACCAGTCCCTATTTACTCAGCAGTCATATCATATTTTGTATAGCTGTATATCTGTGTGGAAACCCCTTCTTAGAAATTTTATTGAAAGAATCATAAAGTGTACTTACTGTTTATAATTATTGGCTCTTGCAGGTCAAAGTTGCAATCCTAAAATACATTGAATCTCTGGCCAGGCAAATGGATCCGACCGATTTTATAAACTCTAGTGAGACAAGACTTGCTGTATCTAGAATCATTACCTGGACAACAGAACCAAAGAGCTCAGATGTGAGAAAGGTACGTCCAAGACACTTAAGGTAGAATTACAAACTTTCTTAGGCGGGGGTCAGAATTAATGTGACTGCTTAGTAGCCATCACACCCAAATGTGTCCATACTGTCCTGTGGAAACAAGACTTTGCTGCTGCACCTCATCTAGTTTTTAGGGGGAGTAAATCACACTGAAGCATATTGTCTGTCATTCTCCCATGGAGCAGCAGCTGGTAGATTCGAGCTCCTTGCCTTTGGGTTGGCAGCACAGTTCCTTACCACCAAGCCATCAGAGCTCCCTTGTCTTTTATTTTAAGAAAAATACTTGTTATTTTATTGTGAAATTGTGTTAAGATGTGTATAAAGTTGTAAAGAGGACCAAGACAACAAAAATTTCCCAGATCAAACCCATTGCTGCTAACTTGATTTTCATTAATAGCAACTTATAGGATGGAGTAGAACCACCTCCATAGGATTTCAAGGTTGTATGTCTTTACAGAAGCACCTGCCTCAGCTTTCTCTGACCAGCAGTTGGTGGGTTCAGACAGACAATCTTCCAGTTAGCAGCCCAGCATGTAATCCACTCCGCCGGTAGAACTCTTTGTAAAGAGCACAGGCTACTTATTTTTAATTATTAAAACTGTTGTAATCATTAATACATGCAAATTGTTTACTTAGTTTCTATCATAAGCATATAACAAACAAAAGCTAATGTTTTATTGCTATTATTTTCATTTTCTTCTCAGTTAAATTATTTTTAAGCTTGAGTTTGAGGTATTGCCTTTGTTCTTTTCTTTTTCATAAAAGCTAAATACCTTTTCCTACTTTTAAAAGCTAGATTTCTTTGTTCTGTGTTCTGGCTAAACATATTTGGTTTTAGTTTATTTGGGAATAAACACGAACCTTCATTTTATTTCTTCTGTCCCATACTCTTAATCTATAGCCATTTCTGTCAGTTTACCCTTTGCTTTTTGGTCTTAGGGGAAAAGTGTGATTGCACATCATAATGAGCACTTTTGGTGCATTTCCAAATGTAAATACTGTCATCATGCAGTATACAGGGCACTGCAGATACCAAAATCTGTGGATGTAGATAAGTCCATAGATAAGATATTCTGGTGTTCATGCAAACAACACAGTCACCTCCTCCTATAGCTTAAGTCTTTTTTGGATTACTTGTCAGGAGCTCTTATGGCATCATTTATTGTCCTACTAACCAAAAGTCCACGCTTCTCTAATAGTTCAAATTCACCAGAACTCTTGTTAAAAAATTTCACCTCACATAAATGGACATCAGTGTTCATTAGCAGCATTATCCACCATTTCAAGAACATGGAAACAGGCCAAATGCCCAACCACAATCAGATGGATAGAGAAATTATGGTACATTCATAAGAAGGAATACTACACAGCACACAGGAGCAATGATTTTTGAAAATCACTTCCTGAGTTAGGAGGGGCTGAAGCTCATGATGCTAAGTGAACTAACTCAGTCCCATAAGGACAAATACTGTATAGACGATTATAGAAACAGACAGCTAGTTAACCATGTATCAGTATCCAAGTGGGGGAGGGTAGAAGCAGAGGGGTGAGGATAGGCAGGGGGCTAATCATAGGGTCACACAATTTGATGGGTGGATGCAGGGATGGCTAAGGAAAATGGTAAGATCTGGTGTGAAAAACAATATACATGAACTTGGTAAGTAAACCAGTATAAAATAAAAATAATTTTTAAATTTTATTTAAAAATATAGATTTATAGCCTCAAAGACACAGTCAAGGGTCCTTATGAATGGGAATGGACTTTACTCAAAGGCAGTGAGTTTTGAATTTTTAGTAAGATTACTTATAATACCTAAAAATATTATCTAAATAACAATGATTTGTGTTTGAGGAATCGCTTTGACCATTTACTTGATTTCTGAGAGCCATTTGTTTCATAGTTGTTATGTTCTATCAAGCCCCTTGCGACTCATAGCGATCCAGCGCTGAACCCTGCTCTATCTTGAGCCAATTTCGTTTCCAACACACCTACCCTCATTACCCCAGTCACTGTGTCAATCCATCACATTCAGGGCCTTCCTCTCTTATGCTGTCCCTCCATCCTTCCAAGCACAATGTTCTTCTCCAAGGGCTGGTTTCTCCTGGCAACATGCCCAGCATGAGACAACATGAGACAGAGCATCAAAATTCTTGTCTCCAAGGAGCTGCCTGGTTTTAACCTCTCCAGGACAGACCTGTTTGTTCTTCTGGCAGTCCATGGCATGTTTAGTACTCTTCTCCAGCACCACAGCTCTAAGGCATGGGTTGTTCTTCTATCATCTTTAGTCATTGTCCAACTTTCTTATGCCTAGAAAGTAATTGCTAAGGCCATGGCTTGGGTCAGGTGCACCTTAGTTTCTAAACTAACTGACATCATTGCTCTTAAGCTCTCTGAAGAAGTCCCTAATAGTAGATTTTCCTAATGCAATTCGTCTTTTCATTTTCTTTTCTTTTCTTTTTTTTAATTATTATTTTTGTGTGAGTGTACTATCAAATCAGATCTGACTGGTACAGGAGGAGATTGTCCCTCCTTCCCCGGCAGAGCATCTGGTGGATTCAAACCGTGCGCCTCTGGGATTGTAGTTGCTGCAGCTCCTTGCCACTAGGCCACCAGAGCTCCCCTTCATCTTTTCATTTTCTGGTTGCTGGTACTAAGCATGCTGATTGTGGAACCAAGGAAACTAAAGTTGTTAACAATAACAAGCTCGTCTCTGTCTGTCATGATGCTGCGAATTGAATTGGTCCAGTGGTGAGAATCTTTCTTCATATTGAGCTTCAATCCATAATCAAGGCAACAATCATTGACCTTCTGCAGCAAACACCTCAGGTCTTCCTCAGTTTCACCAAGCAGAGTTGTGTCATGTGCATAACACATGTTGTTAATGAGTCTTCCTCCAGTCCTGATGCCACATTCCACCTCATTTCGTGAAACAACATATGATCAAGAGACAGTGGTGATGAAGGAGAAAGTTGCTCTGAATCGAGTTGGCAAAAAACAGGGCCCCAGGAATTGATGGCATACCAGATGACAGCAAACAGACACTGCCCTGTGACACTCATCAGGTTGTGCCAAGAAATCTGGAGGACAGCCATCTGTCCAGCTGACTAGAGGAGACCCATATTTACTCCTATTCCAAAAAAAGGTGATCTGACAGAGTGCAGCAATTATCGAACAGTATCATTGACTTCACAAACAAGATCCTGCTGAAAATTATCCAAAAACGAGTGGAACAATAAATCAGCAGAGAAGTGCCAATGTGCAAGCTGGGTTTAGAAGAGGCTGTGGCACTAGGGATATTATATCTAATGTTAGATGGATCGTGGATGAAAGCAAAGAGTACTAGAGAAATGTCTGTTTGTGTTTCATTGACTGTGTGGATCACTACAAACTGTGGCTGACTCTGAGAAGAATAGAAATCCTAGAACGACTTGACTGTGCTCATGTGAAACTTATGCTTGGACCAGGAAGCAGTCATCAGAACAGAGCAAAGAAACTCTGCATGGTTCAAGATTAGGATAACTGTGTGCCAGGGTTGCATCCTATCTCCTGTTTTTTTCATAGCAGCAAGGGGTTTTCACATCACAAGTAGCACATGATTAAAACCTGAGACAAATAATACTATAACAAGGATCATTGAGAAAGCAAAGGACTAAAGCAGAGTATGGCTACCCATCCCTTCATCTGCATGGATTCATCGTTGTGTACAGCAAATTCAAATTTTGCTCTTTGAGGATTTCTGAAATTTTTGTTTTTTCTTTGCAAATACTGTTAACTTTTGGATTCAGAGTCTGGGGATATAGATGGCTTCTCTCCCTCCTAATAGAGTTCAAAGAGATGAGCTACAGGATTATCTAATATAAATTATTTACTATTTTTAATGGTCTTCATTTTTTTTTTTACTGCTTTGTATTATCTGAATGCCCAGACTTCATAGCTTTAGTTCAGATAGCTTGTTCACTGATTTGCAGCTCCTTCCCTAGACTGCACCTCCTTCCCCAGACTGCACCACCTTCTCACAGTTTGTCCTTGTGAGTACTGCTTGACTCCATGCCAGGTCTGGGACAGTAATTCCGATTTTCATAGGGATTTGAGAGGCTTCAGATTAACCAGGAGAGAGTAAAACCTAGATTTTGTTCCGTTTCTTATTGGGTCCGTCTCACACACATACGCTTCTGACTGATGTTAATGTTACTTTAGACCATTTCACTGGGTACTGAATTACAAGACATCTAGACTGCTGGTGGAGTCCTAACCTTGTTGCCACAGTTCTTGACTGCCTAGCCTTGTTGTTGTAATTGTTGTCCAGTCGAGCATGACACCTAGCATCCCTATAAACAACAGACCTGAATCCTGTCCTGTCTTGTACCATCCTCATCATCTCTGATATACTTGAATTCATTGCTGAAGTCACCGTGTCAGCCCATCTTGTTGAATGTCTTCTCTTCCACTGACCCTTCACCATTTCAAACATGATGTCCCTTTCCAAGGAATAACCCCTCCTAGCAACATGTCCAGAATATGAGAGGTGAAGCTTTGCTTTCCTTGCTTCTAGAGAGGACTCTGGTACACTCTTTCCAAGGCATAATGGTGCTAGATTACCTACCATCTTTTAATACAATAGTAAAAGAGAAATGCTAAATAAAGAATAATTGAAGATTGTGGAACATTCCTGTCAATTTTGTTTGGCACATTAGTGACAGTCTAAAGGAAGCAACAATCGTTATTTAAGAAGAAAACTCTGCTTTTCTTCTCTCTGCTTTCTCGGATCAACGCCAGAGTACTTGTCCAAGCTTTATTTCTCTTTGATCTGTTAGGAAGAATTCTTTACTACTATAAGGTGTGTCCAGAATTGTTCTGGCAGCCTGGTGGTTAAAGTCTCAACTGCTGACCCAAAAGTCAGCAGTTCACATCTACCAGCCACTTCATGGAGAAAGATGTGACAGTCAGTGTCTAAAGACTGCAGCCATGGGAACCCTATGGAACAG